GCTGGCTGGGGAATTCTGGGAGTTGAAGTCCGGACATCTTCAAGTGGCCAAAGGTTGGGAAACACTAAGGATATGGCGATTGACGTATTGCCCCAAAAGTGAATTCCACCCCTAAGGATACAGCATCAAAGTATGCGTCACTAAAAATACTAACGCTTGCCCATTTCCTCCGCGGTTTATGGGAGCTGTACACGTGGCGCTCGCCCTTCTCCCGTCGCTTCGGCTCTGCTGGCTCTTGAGAAACACTCTCCTTCCTGAGAACAGGCCGAGGCGCCCATTTTTGCAATGTTGCCATGGCAACGGGCACGGGGGATCGATACAAAAAGCCAAGAGTGGCGCGAGGGTTCGGTTTCTCTTCGTGCGAGAAGCGTTGCTCTTACTTATCGTATCTGTGAGGGGGATAAAAAAATTCCTTCGTACTTTTTTTTTGTTTTTGCACTGATTTGAAAAACGGGATGGGAAATTCCGCTCAATTATCTAGCTCGGGACTTTGGAGCGCTTTGTAAAGTCTACGAAAGGCGGCACTCTTACTTAACTCTCTGCGCTCTTTCCTAGATCTATCTTGCACGGCAACAGCCAAACCGGGTCTTGTCTTAGGGGAGCTAACGGAGGCTCAATCCACGTGGTCCGGAAAGGGGCGGGCACAAGCAAGGGCCCCTGGGGTGTGTGATTGGTTCGCGCGCTGTCCCCTCCCACTTTCTCGCGGAGCCCTTCAGCGAAGAGACCCAAAAGGGGATTGAAGCCCGCGTGGGTAACCTGGGGTCGCGCGCGCCTTTTCCCGCAATGGCGCCTAACGGCGATTTAATGGGGGCCGCCGAAGATGTCGCTGATCAGGTGAGAACCTCCCCCCACCCCCCCGAGCTTTGAATGGTCTGGCCCGACCTACTCCTTTCCGCGAACGAGCCAGCGAGGGGAGCCGTACCATCTTTCCTCGGGAGTAGGGGGGGGGAAGTTGGTGCATCATCACGCCCATTTCGCCGACCCTCCCCGTTCGCTTCTTGCCCGCCTCGACAGTGACGGGCCGCGGTGTGCCCATGCTTTGCCGGCAGCGGGGATGGAAGCGGCGCCGAGGGACATAACGAGACGAGAGACGAGGGGCGATCTTGGGCCATTGAGGCGCGAATCCCTCATGGAGAGTTCCTGCCTTTTAAGTCTACTGTCGTTCCCCCCCCCCCCACTTTTGTTTTAATTTTCGGGAGGAGGAAAGGTGAATTTTTTTCCTCACACCTCTTATCCGCCTCCCCCTGCCTGCCTTCCTGGAGTCCACAGGTCGTTAACTTCTCTCAGTGAGGCAGGTGCAGGTGTGGAGTTTCGGGGTCCCTTAACACAGCGGTCTCCAACCTTGGCAACTTTAAGACTTGTGGACTTCAACTCCCAGAATTCCTTGGCCAACTTGGAGTCTCCAACCTTGGCAACTTTAAGACTTGTGGACTTCAACTCCCAGAATTCCTTGGCCAACTTGGAGTCTCCAACCTTGGCAACTTTAAGACTTGTGGACTTCAACTCCCAGAATTCCTCAGCCAACTTGGGGTCTCCAACCTTGGCAACTTTAAGACTTGTGGACTTCAACTCCCAGAATTCCTCAGCCAACTTGGGGTCTCCAACCTTGGCAACTTTAAGACTTGTGGACTTCAACTCCCAGAATTCCTCAGCCAACTTGGAGTCTCCAAC